ATAATTTTTCAAGTGCACTGGCTATCTGGTTTTAGAGATTGGCATGGAGTAGTTCATGTGATCGGTCTGAAATCGTGGCTAGCCAGTCATGTGCTCTACTCCTCATGATATATCCCGACAATCCTGTGCAGGTCTAAAAAATGTGAAACATGACAACAGTTCAAAAGTAGCTCGTAATGTTTGTTAATGATCAATTCCATTTAATTAAATTGTCTTGTTCTGTGCACAATTTTATATTCGAACAATCTGCTCAGAAACGCTTGTGCCGGATTTTCTATTTGGCAGAGCCTGAAAAATATGGAACTGATGGTCCACGGCCAATACGTTAATCATGGAGCCGTGCTTTGCATCCACAATCCATCTCTGCTCCACTAAATCATCCAGCTAGCTGGAATGTCAACCCCTTGAATTTCCCCGATACTCTCCAACAAGTGCAGTTGTTGAAGCCGTAAACATGAAGATAAGTAAGTAAAGTTACCCATGTGTAATGGCGCTCATAGGAAGACAGCTGTAAATACAGGGGACCCATAACAAATCACCAAAAGACCTTCTACAATAGCGTCTTGTATCTTAAATTGATAACTAATCCTGCAGCACACTCGCTGCTTTCACATCAATCTGACATAGGTGTCCAATTGTGTTCCAAAATCGTTTGACAAATGCTACTGCAGTCAGGACAAACCAAAAAGTCACACAGACAATAACATGCCCCTGTACTACTTGGCACCATAGTGGTTATATGGTCTGGTACAGATAACAGCCATAGTTAACAGTTCCCAACAAGTGTTAAGGTTTAATTTATACTTTTGCACTTTGCTGCAGTGAAAAGAACATTCCTGCAATTTTGTTTTCAGCAGCATTTAGCATGCACCTTCCCTTGGGATTAGCAGTAATACAGTTAATCCCAGGTAGCCAATGCTCCTTAAAAATTACATCTGGTGCCTAACTTTTGGGGTTTTCTCTAGTTGATGTCTAGTTGTGGACCTGTTTCCTAAAAAAGAAAATCTGCTGCCTCCTGTATTGGACAGATTGGCTCCTGAATTGCAAATTAATTTGCCCAGCCCTAATGTAAAGCATATGCAAAAAAAAACACCTAAAACATACTGCACCGAAACAACATTGCATGAGAAGTGCAAGGGTGCGAATGTATCTTCAATGAAGTGTCCACTTCCTGCTGCATCGATCTGCCCCCAATGCCTGGCTTTACTCAGGCAGTGCACATGAAAGCCGGGCCTAATGCCGATAGCTAAAGTCATTCAGGCCCTTTTCGGTATAAACTTCTTCTGCTTACAGTTTTAACACAATCAACATTAGACTAAAGCCAAACCTCTTTTTGGCTTTAGTTCTCTTTTGGGTCACAGGAGGACATTTACAAATGTCCTCCTGTGACCCAACCTCAGCATGTAGCCTCTCTAGTGCCAGCTGTGCCCGCCCCCCCCCTCCCCCCCATCCCTCCAGTCAGTGCTGGAGGAACGGAGAGGGGGGAATACATGTGGGGAGCGTTGAGTGACAGTCACTGCTCTCAGCAGAGAGAAGAGTGTAAGCTGAGCAGTCAGCGATTGGTGATCGCTCAGTTCTCGATCTATAGAGCCGGTGTGTGACAGCTGCAGTGTCACAGACCGGCTCAAAGTATTGGGAAGATTTAATTTTACTCATATAATAGTTCTCCTTTAATCTGTGTTGGAAACACAGGAAAAAAGCCATATTTGCATTAGAATGTAAGGAAGGATATTTTGAAATTTTACATGTGATCCGTTACAAAATCTGATATAACTGAAGGAAAATATTCATGTTGTGTGCAGGGTAGGGTCATTGTGAGAAGAGATCCAATGATCCTAAGATCCTAATTGGAAAGAAAAACTCCATCTCAGAATATTCATAACATTACTCACCTGCTTAAAGGAGAACTATGGGGTCAGTATTTTTCCCCATAGTTCTCCTTAGGGTAACGGGAGGACACAAACCAGCGTCCTCCCGTTACCCTAAGCTCATATACCGCGAGCTACAGCTCGCGGTATACTGAGACGCCACAGCCGGAGCGGATCCCGACTCAGACGACGGGATCCGCCCAGCTGCGTGAGTGACAGCTGGCTCTGCCTATCTAGAGGCAGAGCCAGCTGTACCCGCCCCCCCCCCCGGCCGTTCCGCCAGTCACCGCCGGCGGATCGGAGGGGGGGAATCCAGCCCCTCCCCTGTCACGGCAGAGAGCCGTGACAGGATCGAGAGGTGAGCGAACCCGGTATGTGTTCACTCACCTCCCGATCTACTGAGCCGACCTGTGACAGTCTCATTGTCACAGGTTGGCTAGAACTATGAGGTGAGTGAAAAGCACTCACCTCATAGTTCTCCTTTAAAGGATAAGTGACCTCTCACCAAAGCCTCCAGAGCTGGAACATTGTGTACTGCAACAGTGTAACCCACAGTGAGGATGGCTATTATTCTTAACAAATCTTTCCAGCACAAACCCCGCTCCCTCTAATTCCCTGCACAGATGCCCGCCCCTCCTGAGATGTAAATACTGCACCAGGCATTATAAATATGGATTTCTACAGATGGAAAGTACCAGGTTACATCTGATTTTCGCAGTACACACTTGAACTTTTGCAGCAGTGCATTTTTGTATAAAAGTGCACTTATCCTTCAAAAGCCCTCAGTAAATCAACAGGTACAAAAATACAACAAAGTACCAAAAGACACGATCATAACAAGTAACACACAGAAATACCACCAATAGCTCAGCATTTAACATACAAGAACTAACATCTCCTGCAAAAAGCATGTGTTGTGTTTTGAGGCTGCCTATTGGAAATGGCACAGATCCGTGTATTGTACTGAGAGCTTAAAATTGTTCGGTAGTCCATGTAAGTCAAATTATACAATTAATACAGTCCAGTGTTGCCTGGCTTCACAATTCCACTCTGCAGCAAAGAAGTCCATTGTAATTATCCCCATTGACTACCAAATGGGGTAAAGTACTGGTACCAACTAAGCACACAATAGCTGAAATAAGCACTAATCACGATCATAATAAACTGAGTTTTTTGGAAAGGCTTAGAAGGAATGATTTCAATTAGGTAGGAGTATAATGAAGAGATATCATACTTCCCTTTCTATAGCTGACCGGCTGTGAATTTACAATATGACCTCTAGTGGTGGCATGCAAACTAAACGCTCTGTTCATTGTTACTACAATGCAAATCACAAAGATAATCACCAATGTGTCAATACGAGAGCAAAATTAAACACCTGCAACATAAGACATTAAAAAATACAAAATGTAAACTGATGAAGTCATGTGAAGAATGATGTGAGCGTCTCATGCTAACAGCTAATGTTTTAGCTAACACTGAAATACTAAAGGAATTATTTTTCAATGGAGAGTGACCAGGTAGAAATAAATAGTTACTTCTCTAATACATTTTCCACACAAAAGTCTTTGTACACAAGCCAGGAATTGAAACAACAATGTTATTCAAATATAACGCCGGTATAGGGGCCAAAAGTGCTTAGAGAGCTGCAGGTATAACTATGGACTTGAAGGGAAATATTATTTATAAACAAGGGAGACAAAGGGAGACTTGATGATTGTCACTTTTTCTCACTGGATTCAAATCTTTGTTACACTGTACTGCAAAAAACACTAGGGTAGAGCTTTACCACTGGCCCAGTAGTTAAATCTTAAAAATACATTTAAAAGTACCCCAACTATTAGGGATGCACCGATGCCAGTTTTCCGATTTTGATTAGCCGGGAAGCCGTCTCTATGCATGGAGCCGCCTTTCTGGCCAATCAGGAAGTCAGGCGGTGGGTAATGACTCGCCGCCTGCCTTCCTGATTGGCCAGCTTCCCGACCAATCAGGAATCCGGGCGGCAAGTCATTACACTCCACCTGGCTTCCTGATTGGTCGGGAAGCCGGCTCAATGCTCCCTCATCACTAAGTGACGCTGTAATTACTCGCCGCCCTTCTTCTTGATATTGGAAGTTTCGGTATCGGGTATAAGTATCGGGAGCATTTGGGCGAGTACGAGTACTGATACTAATATCGGTGCGTCCCTACTAACTATTAATAAAAATGTATCTTATTTGTGTATCACTCAGCTGTAGATCTTCAAATCATCTCAAGAAGGAACTGTCCTTCCTTTTAGAGGATGGCTACTTCTGTTCCCAATGGTCCCTGTGTGTGTTGTAAAGTAGCCACCGTCAAAGAGCTTTCTACTTAGTTGTTATGGGTTAATTTGCTTTACTTTTTGCCTTATTAAACAAAGCGTTTAATATTAAAAAAGCAATTTGCACCATGCTTTTAATGATTTGTTTTGCCTTCTTCTGAGTCAACAGTGAATTAAGAGTTCTGCTGATGCAACTTTTTAATTTACTATTTTTCTATTGGTTGAATTAAAAGGGCATGTGTCTATTATTAGCCTGACCACTTATGTAATTATCACTATTTTTATTAATATTATTAGTAGTAGTAGTATTAAAGCTGCTTATGCTATGGGGTATGGGGGTGGTCTGCAAAACAGTTGGTTGTTAGCACTTTTTGGAAACAATGAGTTTTAAGAACTAGTTAGGGCAGCAATGACAGAAACAACATTTGAAGTGTATTTTGCATTTCAGAAAACATAGATTTGCTTTCCTGGTGTAACAGTTAAATGTAAATTTTCAGCTAAAACCAGAAACATTCCAGTTAAGAAAAACACCAAGCAACCTAAAATCACAATCATTTAAAAACACAAAAATACCACCAAGCTTCAAATATGCCGATTTATTTTTGGAGATAATCCGCCATAAAATTGTTTTAGTTTTTCTTCTAAACTTTCTTAACTTCATAATGAATCTTTATAACAACAACAGCTGCTGAGGCTAAACAATATATACAGTAGAGTTATTTAATTGTAGCAATCCCTTTAATAGTTTTCACCTTTACAAGCACTTCCAACAAAATATGTACACTTTAGGAAAAAACAGTGCCATGCAACTTTTAACAATCAGTCAGACATACCTGAGCGTGGGGCATTTCTGACACTCTTCTCGCTGCCATGTTTAAGGTTCCTCCCACCAGTTTGCTGGTTGTCTGTAAGTTAATAGGGGCGGTCTGTGGGGGTTCTGCGCTGTTTGCCGAGGCTGCCGAAGCCGTTGCCGTCTTCTGTCCATTTAAGTGTGCAGTCACCATAGTGACGGGGGCTTTGGCCGGGATCACAGAGATGGCAATGCTCTGACTGCTTGGTGCTTTGATGAGCGGGATCGGTTTGGCACTCCCCACAGGACAGCTCCGGACCGCCAGCTTCTGCCATGCAAAGAAACGGAAGAGAGAAAGAAAGTGGTGAGTGTAACTTGGCACAGACACGAACCCAGCACCCTCCTACTTGTCTCTAGGCACCTCCTTCTACACCACCTACTAGAGCAATCACAGGGACAAAGGGGCACTGCTGCAAAGATTCAGCGCGCACCATCTGGCTCCATTAGTTGCATTAAGATTCCATGCTCAGAACAGAGAAGAACTGATTCAGACAGCTTGTCCCGCACAGAAGGAAGCAGAGAGCCACGTCGTACAACAGCATGCATCCTTCTGATGAAATGGCTCCAACTGGGCAAATTTAGGTGGCGATTCTGATTTTCGTACATGTATTTCTCTGTATTTATTGCTAACTACAAGAGGCTCTGTTCCTGCTGCGCTGCCTGTGGAGACCATGCGGTACACAACCAGGAATACACATCTCCCTGTGGTCTCATTGATTGGGGAAAATAATGGACGTTTGTTTTTTCTATTCCTTCACAGAGTTTTGTTTTTTTTCCCTCTTTTCAAGCTAGGTAAAGAAAAAAAAAATCAAACCCAAAATACACGGCTATTACAAAGCACTTAAACAGATTTATTTGACATTTTGGGAAGAAATCTACTGCAGCATCTAGCGTTCTATTAAAAGCTTTTCTGTGCACGTTTAATAGGAGATTATCCACGGTGCAAAAAACAGCATTTTAAATTCATCTATCTGTTTGCTTTGTTACCATACTGTAAATCCTGCCACATTGCAAGTGTTTACAAGGAATGTAAACCAGGCTATGCAAAATTACATTTTGTGCTGGCAAAGCAAAGTTACTGAACAAAGCCAGTTATATAACTAGAAAAATGATTTCAATTATTACCCTCAAAGTCATTGCGTCATGTTTGATAAGGTAGCGCCATGGAATAATCAAATCTGTAAATATATTTTTTCCTATATTGTTGTTGTATGTCAGCCCAGGCTCTTGAAGTGCCTATTGTGACCGCTAAGAAAATATGTCCTGTTGCCACATGGGAACTGCAAATGCCTTGGAGTGTGTAAGCAACCATTCCCTGTAGACTGGGGACAGGACAGGAAACCATGGCACAGGCAGGATTTAGGCATTTCCCACTGGGAGCAATGGATACTTCAAAAGGCTGCAGAGAGGCGTGACGGAACAACATCTTACTACTGTGCCTTACACTGTCTCAACTTGCAGTAGAGCAGAATTAGGCTTTAAATTGTATTCGGTCGGGCTCCTGAGAAACTCTAATACAAGCCCTTAGTTGTCACAGATGTCTCTGCTGCTCTATTTCGCTGTAATTAGTATGAATTATTCAGCCTGTGTTCTCGCTGTACATTCATATCTGTGATATTATTTTCTGTTTTCTCAATGGAAAACGTGAAGCATCCAGATGTCTTTTTTCCTTGTACGGCAGAGCGATACATACATTTCATCAGTGCTGTGCACCGTGCATATTTTTCAAGCAGTGCGGAGCAGCAGGAGGCTAGCACGCTTGATTACACACCGGCTGACCGCAATCTTTCCTGGACCCCAGTCATCATTTAGGAATCCGACAAAATTACCAATGTGTTCTTTAAACTGTGATACGTAAAACAAGCAATCACCAGACATCCCTGTTCCCACTTGATTAACACAAATAGCTACAGGATGATGACAAGGAAAGCGGGTGACAAAACACATAAAACCAACATTAACACTAGATGACAATCAGACATGTACAAAAGTACAATTAAAGGTATAGTCCACCTCATTGAATATTTTCTTTTTAATGTATAATTGGGGTAGATATCAGACGTAAACTGCTTGACAAGCTTCTTATGGGGCAGGGAACTTGACTTCCCACATTCTTCCTGCAGGTGTGACTGTCCTCCTATATCTATGAGCACCCTTAGTAATGTGAGGACCTACCTAAACAACCTATCCATGCTATAGGCTGTCACAGTGCTACATGTTTTGAGCCATTATGGGTCTTGGTCACATGACCAAGCATGGGTCAAAACGAGTAGCATTGTTAAAGACTCCCATTAAAAAATGCCTCCACACAGTTTTCTCTAAACGCCCCCTTGCAAAGTGCCCCAAATACCTGTTGATCCTGCAAGAAAAATGCACCTAATGCGGCTTCCTGTGACGGTGTGGCAATGATGTTGTACTGCTCCTGAATTCAGAGCAGAGTTGCCACTCTTATGTAGGTTGTGCCTCTTTGCACTACAGTAGACCAGTCACCTGTCAGCATTGTTACTCCTGATTCACAAACCTGTAGCTTGTCAATCAGTACCTGGCCACTCCTACTCCTGCCCACTGCTTTCTGTATTGACAGCACTGTTGTGCTATTGCTGAAGCTCTCCCACTGTGAGCTGCAGTGTCAGGGAGGTGGAGTGTGTGAGATACAAATGAGGACTTGGCTCTCTGAGAGGAGGCAAAGGAAAAGTTTTAGATGATTATTGAAAACATAGTAACTGAATGTGGGACTTGTTTAGACTGTCACACAGGAACCTTTATTTGTACTTTAAAGTGATATTAAAGTAAAAAGGATTTTCAGCTATTTAAAATGCTGATGAAATCACTTACAATGAATGCTGCTCCATGATGTTTAAACGTTTTAGTTCCCTGCAGAGTCAGCTATTCCCCTAAACACTGGTCCCAACTTTTTTATTCTATAGGGTCTTGGCATTCAGAAAATATATAATGTTGGGGGGTTTTACGTCATTTTCAGGCCTAAAATGTGGAATATAACATGGGTGCAAAAAATGAAAAAAGGGCCTCAGTCATGAAGGGGTTAAGGGCTTGTTCACACTACTTACAATGCGTTCCAGCGCCGTTAGCTGCTGGAACACACTGTATCGCATAATAAACTCCCTCCTGTGTTCTTGTGAGGGGGCGTGGTGGTGCATTTCAGTCACTGGCACCGCAGCCCCGCCGCCCCCGCCTGCAGTGCGATCGCCCGTACCAGAACGCATGGCACATCAATGCCTGCATTGCGGTCCCGTGCGATCATAAAAAAATTGTACAAGCACTATTTTTTAAGGATTGCACTGCACACTCTCCCACACGGGATCGCAGGGCACATTATGCCTGCGGTCCGGTGCAATCAAAATAGTGCTTGCAGCACCCCTCCTGCCCCACAAAAAAGTGAGCCTGCTGCAATGTGAGGCAGTACGTTCTGGCTAGAATCAGGCCGGAACGCACCGCATCTGGTGTGAATGGGACCTTAGAATTTAAGGTACGAGGGCAACCAGATCCCTCATGTATATGTGACTGCACTCTAAGGTTGAGGGTTCGGAAGCCCGCCCCTAGGCGGGGGCGGGCTTGCGATCATTGCAAGTACGATCTGCCTGTCCAAGATAGGCAGATCGTATGTTTTTTTTAATTACCTTACAACCATCGCAAGACAAAAGTCTTGCGATGGTTGTAAGGTGTGTGCCCAGCCTTAAGGTGGCCATACACTTTACAACTATCGCAGGACCTTAGTCTTGCGATGGTTGTAAAGTCATTTAAAAAACGTACGATCTGCCCATCTTGGACAGGCAGATCGTACTCTTGATCATCGTAAGCCCGCCCCCCTGAGGGGCGGGCTTCCGATGACTGCAATGCTGAACGGGCAGTGTGCGCGTGCGCACACCGGCCCGTTCGGCATTTGTCTCCCGAGCACCGTTCAAACCAGCCGAAAATCGTACGATTTTCGGCTGGTTTCCTAGCGTGCACCTTAGACAAAAGACGTGCGACCGTACAGTAGAAACGGTCGCACGTCTTCACTCACACTGCTCGATTCTCGTACGATCGCGAGATTTCCCGCGATTCTTGAACGAGAATCGAGCAGTGTATGGGCACCTTTAGATGTGTTCACTCTCAAAACAGGTGTTCTCACTAAAATTCCCAACTTCTGTTTGACTTCTGCTAGAAATAACAAGTTATGGGGTTATTCACAAAATGGTGAGGAGTTTGGAGAAGACAGGGGAAGTGAACAATCTAGGACAACAAAGCTGAACTGGAAAGTGAGCGGAATTGGAGAATTTTTCCAAATCAGCTATATTTTCCTAGATTGTTCACTTCTCCGGCCTTCTCCAAACTCTGCACCCTTTTGTGAATAACCCTGTTAGTGTATGGGTCAAAACGGTGCATGCAGAATGCAATTATTGCAGTTCCAATATAAAAAATTATGCAATTATGTATCCAGATTTGTAATGGCCACTCAATTACAAAGAGCGGATGTCTCACCATTAAAATCCCAGAGAAATATAAGAAGCCAGGCTGAGTCAAATCACCAACAAACACACAAAACCAAAATACAATATAGAATGAGAAAATATTTTTGTTTAAAAAAACAGAAAACTAGCAAGCAAACATGGCTATAAACATCCTCTAGTACTACCAAGTGAATTAAGAATGTATTACTTTCATGTACTACTCCATTCATTTGGTAATAAATTGCCACTTGAAATGCATATGTAGGCAATCACGCAGACATGTTTGCTTATACAAGCCTGTAATTAAGATAAGACAAACGATCAAACACAAAGCAGATAGCAACATGCAACAATGTAAGCATACAAAGGCAAAGCCCACTTCATTTGGAGTGTAATGGCAAACTGCCAGGTCGCAAATTTTATTTACGTTTTTCTTTACAAAACTACTAAATGTTCCTTCATTAAAAAAAAAAAGATAAAATTACTAACTACATGCATTAAAAAATTAAACAAACCTTCTAGAGCGTATGCAGGCAACAAGTATCTTTCTCACTGAACAGTTATTGCCATGGGGAATATTAAAGCTGTGCTAAAAATCCATTTTGTTTTTCCTACAGTATGCCTGAGCTTTATATACTCCAGCACAGCCAAAATTCAACAACTTTTTTACAGTGCTTCTAGGTGGACCACAAGCCCCATTATGGGAATCTTGGCTGAGCCAACTCCCCTATGATGAGACAGGTTTACGTAAAAATACACCTAATCTGGCCATACACCTATAGATTATCTGCAGATTTTCTATGGTCAGATGGAA